TAGCAGAGGAAGCAGGAAGACATTCTTTGTGCACAAGATAGCATAAGAACATTAACATTAAAAATGGATGAATGCTGAATACATCTATGATGCCTGTGGATTCGTAATGCAGAAATGTAGTACAGATAAGATATTTTTCTTTTCAGTGTAGGTCAGATGAGGCACAAGCTAATTTTGGAAGTGAGGCCTGTGGACTGAACAAAGACTCCAGGCAGCACCCTGACCTGCCAAAACTGCAAGAAACGTGGGCATTGCATCAGCTTTTACAAGGGCGTACCATGAACTCAGTGCCTCCCTCCCTTGTGGGTGGTGCTAGATGGAGAGCTGGAATAGTGGTCCTGCACCTTTTTGGTTCTTATAGGCAGTGTAACCTTGCTGCTACTGTTAACCTTGCAGATGTCTTACCATCCAATGAATATCCAATTTCTGTGCAAGTCAAAGGGAAAATATGCAAGTTTCAGCCACTAGTTCTGGCATGAAATGAAAACAAAAGGTGCAAGTAAAATATAGGCTTTAAAAAAGTACACTTTGGCTACTCTACAAGCAGTCTTCCAAAACTCACATATGTGATAGGTAATGTTACCACTTCACAGTTTGAGTGTTCAGTTCCCAAGATCTTCATATTCTGACGCAGAATCTCACTGGAGCAAGGCAATGGTTAGCCACCAAGAAATCCAGGAAAAAAAATATGCTACGTCTTTCATTCAGCATACAAAATAATATCCTATTTAAAGAGGAATTGGCTATGGAAAGAGCTTTCTTCCCTTGGCTGTGCACGAAAGTGGAAATTAAAGAATGGCAAGGTTTGGCAAGATTTTATGTCCTTCACAAGCAACTTATACAGATCTGTTTCTAGTGCTGCCCAGTAACAGATATGTTCCTGTATTCCACTTGTCAAATAACACTGCATATGTTTAAAGCCTGGCTAAAGAGCAAACTTCAGTGAGCTGAAAGAATCATACAAAAAGTGGAAACTTGGCTATCTCCCTATAAGAGTATCACATGGGCATGTAGGTTGAAAATCAGGAAGAACAAGGCACGATTTGAGATGTAACTAGCAATGGATGTAAAAGGCAATAAAAAAGATTTTTCAAGTATGTCAGAAGTAGAAGAAAGAACAGAAAATTCTAGGTCCCTTACTGCAGTGGTTCTCAACAGGGGGCATGTGAGCAGGTTTCAGGGGGTCCACCTGGCCTGGCCCGGCCCAGTGTGGGGAGGAGCTGCATTGGCCCCCCAGGATTCAGGCAAGCCTGCCTGGTGCCACAGCCTCCATTGTGTGGGCAGCGCTACAGGTGGGGCCTTGGGGTTCCCCACTGCCAAGACTTGCTCGCTGTACCCAGGGCCGTGTGGGCAGGGCTGCAGAACCAGGCTGGTCCTCATCGAGAAAAAGGTTGAGAACCCCTGCCTTAGTGAATGGGGAAGACAATCTAGTAACAGCTGATGCAGAGAAGGCTGGAGTACTGAATGCCACTTTTTATTTCATTCTTCATGAAGAAGGTCAGTTATCAGATGATGACTGCAGCTGGCAGTACAGACAGGGAAGGAGATAATCAGCCTGGAGTAGGAGAACAGATTAGAAATTACTTAAAGAAGCTGGACATTTTCAAGTCAGCAGGGCCAGATGAGATGCAACCTAGAATACTCAAGCAATTGGCGGAGGTATTTGCAGAGCTACTGACTATTCTCTTGAGAAGTCATGGAGTTTAGGTGAGGCCCAGAACAACAGGAAAAGGGTAAACGTAGTGCCCATCTTCAAGAAAGTGAAAAAGCATGATCCTGGAAATTACAGACCAGTCCGTCTGATCTAGCTACTTGGAAAGACTATGGAGCATGACATCAAGGAATTGATTTCTAAGCATCTAGAGGAAAGCAAGGTGATTAGGAACAAACAGTGTGGATTCATCAAGAACAGGTCATACTTCACCAACCTGACTTCCTTTTGAAACAAGATAATTAGCTTTGTGAATGAGGGAGAGCCGTGGACATGATATATATTGACTTTAACAAAGTTTTCAATTTGTCTCCTCCTACATTCTCATTAGTAAGCTATGGAAATAGAGTCTAGACAAAAGAATTGTAAGGTGGATACATAACTGATTGGACCACCATGCTCAAAGAGTAGTCATAAATGGCTCAATGTCCAGTTGGGAGGAAATATCAAGTGAAGTTCTTCAGCTGTCAGTCCTGGGTCCCATACTGCCTAACAGCTTCATTAATGATTTGGAGGATGGGACTGAGTGCACAGATGGCAAATTTGAAGATGACAACAAGCTGGGTAGAGCTATAGACACTTTGGAGGATAGGATTAGGATTCAGAATGACGTTGGTAAACTGGAAACATGCGCTGAAGTTAACGAAATAAAATTTAATATAGACAAGTGCAAGGCATTTTAGAATGGAACAATCACATGCACAAACGCAGACTAGGGAATGACTGGCTAGGGTGCTTTACTGCAGAAAAGGTCCTAAGGGTTACAGTGAAATGTTAGCTGAATATAAGTCAACAGTGTGCTCTTGTTGTAAAAAAGCAACAGTTGTATTAACAGGAGCATCACTTGTAAGTCACAGGAAATTATTTCTTCTCTCTTCAGCACAAGTGAGACCTCACCCACCCATAACCAAACAGAAATTCAGTGCACACAGACTAGTTTAAAAATGGCAGAACCCAGTCTAAGATAGACATGGATTGATGTGGTAGCAAACTTAAGCGATTTAGACTGGTCTATCAAATTTCTATGCCACATCCTCTACAAACTCAAGTTAGTTTGCAGTCTGTCCGCATCCCAGGCTGCTTTGCAGCCCCTCCCCACTTGCTAACCCTCCCTTATAGGGAGGTGTGCTGAAACTTGACTTGTGTTCAGCTGCTTACTTACCTCTGAGCTATCACAGAGCTGAGGCAGCCCTGTCGGGGGTGGGGGTAGGAAGGAGGGTCTGTAGCTCAGTATTTTTCTATCTTTATACAGTGCCCCTAAGCGGGGGTGGGGATGCAGGGAGGGACTGCTCTGCAGAAGGAAGAATCGGGCCCCTTGGAGCTCTGGTGAACATGCTTTCAGAAGGAGGGTAGGGAATGAGGAATCTGCATGCTGCTGCTGTGGTCTCCAGCCAGCTGCCCTTCCTGTGAAACAACACCTCACAGCTCCTAGCATGTCTACAGGCACCTTTAGATCACTTCTGCCTTTGTATTTTTGAACATCTGTATGGAGCCCTGTGTCTGGTTCTGGATGCCACATTTAAAGAAAGATATGAACAAATTCAAGAGTCCAGCAGAGAACAACAAAAATTCTTAGAGGTCTAGAAGAGAAGTCAGCAACCTGCTACAAATGGCAGGCTGCATTAATGCAGTTCCGCCAAAGGCAGGCTGCTGCTTCCAAGTCAGCTGTCACTGCCAATTGCCGTGGCTGCTGGACCACATGTTGACTCCTGCCTGGAAAACAACCTACTGGGAAAGTGGGAAGAACTGAGATTACTTAGCCTGGAGAAGAAAAGACTGAAGAAGAAAATGATAGCAGTCTTCAAATACCTGAAAGAGAGAGACAGGGTTATAGCTAGGATGATAATGGGCTGTTCTCTGTGGCTACAGGGAACAGGAAAAAAAGTAACAGCCTTAATTGCAGAAAGGTAAATTTAGGTTGGATATTAGAAAGAACATTCTAACTATGAGGGTGGTTAAGCATTGGAACAGATTGCCTACTGAGGCTGTAGAACCATTCTTGGGGGCTAGACAAACACTAGACTGAAATGGTATAGACAGGGATGATCCTGCCTCAGGAAGGGGGCTGGACAAGATGACCTCTTGATTAAGGTTCCTTCTAGCCCTATAATTCTAATTCCCTGATCTCCCACTTAGTCCTGACTTGCATGTCTTCTGATTTCCTATATGAGATCTTCCTCCATGATGATTCGTAGCAGATACTTAAGAATGCATTTCATTATGGGAAAAAAATAGACCCACATGGGGGAAAAACAGTTCTCTTTCAAACTGACCACAGATAAAGCCTTGCTACTCAACATGTCAAATAAAGGCAGATTCACAGCAGATTATGCAGATACAGAGACTATGATTGTGCATGCTGTCTAGACTCTCTGGGCTTTTCTTACCCTGATCCAGAAACTCTGTTTGGTTCCTTCAGCTGGGATCAGATACATGGCTCTGCTCCTCAGGTTTGTCTTTTGTGACCAGAAAAAAGTAGCTGGATTTACCAAATATCATTCATTTGTAGCATTGCTAGAAGGAGATGTCACTCCTAGTGCTTTCTTTATGCTTTATCCTTGAAGTTATCATCAGTGATTGTCATTTTCGTTATCATTATTCACTATCATTATTAATATATTGAGATTAGGCCCTTGTATGATGAAAATGCTTTGTAGTTTTTTACAAGTACGAGTAGATGGCAATACTGTTATGCATTATTCTTCTACCGTTATGCATTATTCTTCTTCAGACTAGCTTTAGCAGTTCTTCAGCTTTTCATTCCTTTAATTACTTGATCAAGTGAGATCCTCTCCATCTAATCCTTTACTACTTGGTTCATAGACTTGTCTAGTTTTGTGAACGATGTCACTGATGTTTCATTGATAGCAGTTGTGTGCTACTGTGCTGTCCATTCAGTGAGCCAATACAGGCTATGTTCAGTGAGCCAAATCCTGGTTTCACTGGAGTTGCAAGGATTTTTATTTGGGAAATGGGTAGAAGAGAATATCCATAGGCTTCTAAGCCATAGAGACTGGATATTACCTTCTAAAGCCAGCTCAGCCTGCAATGTAAAATCAAATTTAAACAACAAATATTTACATAAATAGGAAAAAAAAATGGTCATGTAAATCAAATCCCAACATCTTGTGTGTTCTGCTATTGCGTATCCTGGTCTTGTTTCTTTCTCCAAACTGGAGCTGTGTAGCTCAGCAACTTTCAGTAAGAGATCATTTAATTAGGGTCTTACCAGTAGCATGCACAATTAACGTAACCTGCAGTATCTCAAACAAAGCAACCGGTATGTTACCTGGTGAGGTACGGAAGCGACACTGTCCAGTCATTGGGTCATACTCCTGATTGTCATCAGAACACAAACACAAGAAGGAACCTTCTACGTTGTCACAAAGGGCTTCACCACATACGCCACTCAGCATTTCACATTCATTCACATCTGGAAAAGAAAACACACGTGGATTCAGACATGTTCTTCATCAGGGACAGGTTTTTTTTTACCTGCTGTATCTGTGCCAATGTTGCCTGCAGGAAAACAGAAATGATCCCTGAGGAAGGATTAAAAGCTGACTGCTACTTAAGGAAATTAGTTAAATTAATTATAAGATAAAGTTAATTGAAAAGTCATACTAAAATAATAAAATGCTGGTGTTGATTTAATTGTAGACCAGAGCACAGCTGTAACATAGGTGGCATGACTGGTACATTTATGCAGCAAGCAAGGTTAGTATGGGGTGCAATCTGAGGTGCTGGCCAGTCTATTATGGTATGGCTGGCACTGGAAGCAGTTTAGCAGTTTTATTGTATTGCTGTGAATAGGTTACTCTGCTCTGCTGAGAGATGTGTGTGTGTGTGGGCGTGTGCATGCATGCATACTGGTGGTGGTGGACTTCTAAAATCTCACATAAAGCAAAAACCTCACAGTACAGCTCTGCACCAGTCCTTTATTTATTTATTTATCCTCTCTCCCCACCAACATATCAGTTGCCGCCCTTATATCTTACAGTGTAAGGTACTGGATCCTATTATACTAATGTTACTATTATCAGATAGCAAGAAGCCTTCAGTATTCATTTGTTCATGTTATTTAAAAGATACTGTAGCAAACATTTTGCCTTTACTGATTCAAAACTCATTGACATCCATGAGTGAAAATGGAGGGTTGTTCGTTGTAGCTATGTTGGTCTAAGGACATAGGCAGACAAGGTTCTTTGGATAGATGTGGTATCTTTTATTAGACCAACTAAATAGTCAGAAAAAAATGTTCTCTGCAAGCTTTTGGGCACAAATGCCCTTCTTCAAACCATACCAAATGGATCCTGACCATGCCAGGACAAGACATGTAAAACCTGCATGTCTCAGGTTTACAAAAAACTCATTTCCACCACTCCCACAATAACTGCATTCCACAACAGAACCATCATCATTCCTGGATTTTACACCTGCACCTCCAGAAATGTAATATATTTCATCCAGTGCACCAAATGCCCTGATGGAAAATATGTAGGAGAAACCAAACAACAACTGTGCACTGGAATGAACGCACACCAAAAATCCATCAAAGACAAAAATATACAATTATCTGTGGGTGCCCACTTCTCACAAGACAACCACTCTCTCTCTGATCTCTCAGTTCTAATGCTCAAAGGAAACTTGCAAAACACCTTTTGTAGATAAGCCTATGAACTTCACTTCATAAATCAACTGGATACAAAAAATCATGGACTAAAAGTAGACACTGGATTTATGACACATTACAACCTGCCTGCCATCTGATAACCCCAGGTAACCTGCCTGCAGCTGACCACTTGCTCTCCTTCACACAGTTCCCTCCGTTCCCCCGGCCCATCTCTACCTATTGTCTTTCCAACTTCTACTCATTTGCATTTTCAAAGACCTGCATGTTGTAAATTAGCTGCTTTTCTACCTTGGAGAACATATATGGCCAGCAGAGTCGCCCAATGCCGAAAGAAGGGCGTTTGGGCCTGAAAGCTTGCAAAGAAAATTTTTTCTAACTATTTAGTTGGTCTAATAAAACATATCACATCTACCCAAAGAACCATGAGTGAAAATGGTGAGTGATGGCAGGATTTGGACTGCGATATCCTGAAAGAATTCTTTTCTCCATGCCTAGCCCTCCCTTCCCCGAAATCCCACGTTCCTGGGGAGTACCCCTTGGGGGCATCTACACACAGCCATATGGCAACGTTGCTATGGTGCCATGCTTTTCTACTTCCTTTTGGGTTGTTACTGCATCGTGCACACACGCACTGTTAGATTTACTGTGTTGTGCGCACGGTGCAATTAGATTTTGTCGCTATGTCATTGTAGCAGCACGCTATACCGGGGAGCACACTGCTACAGTGACATAGCTGGTGATCATGCGTAGACCCACATGATTGCTGTGTCACCACAGTGTGCCATACAGCGACATAGTATATAGCTACATCACTGTACGGCAACATGTAGACGTGCCCTTTGAGTCTTATGAACTCGTTTTGGTCATATTCCTCTCTCCTGTAAGACTTCATTGGGTGCTCTGGAGCCCCAAAATGGTATTCCTGTATCACCTAGTGAAGTCCTTGCAGAAAAATGCAAGTCTCTTTTTCCAAATTAGAAATCATACAATAATCTTAACTACTATTGGCTTGGGACAAAAAGCATCCTACAAGCCCTACACTTGGATTCCTAAATTCCTGAACCAGACCACTTTAAAATCTTATTTGACAGGAAAACTGTCTGTGGTTTAAATCAGGGATAGCCAACCTGTAACATATGCTATAAGTGACATGGGCAACCTGTGTGTGGTGTGCAACAGGTCAGGGCGGGGACAAAGCATAATGGCAGGTAGGGCAGGAAGCAGAAAACAGAGTGAAAAATGGGACAGCGAGCACAAGGAAGAAAGTAAAAAGCAGAGCAGAAGATTGGGCAGGGAATATAGGGCAGGAATCAGAAAGAAGAACAGCGTATTGGACAGGGGAAGGGGATGGGAATGACCCTGGGGGAGGCTACAGGGCTAAGTTGTAGAAGTGCACTGATACATTGGTCTAATATTGGATCAGTACCGATATAAAGACAACTGGCTGTATCGGATATCAGTCCAATGGGGCCAATAATTTGGCCAATAAATGCCCATGCTGTGCGCAGCTGCAGTGCAATACTTAGGCAGTGAGGAGCACAGCTGGCAGCATGGAGAGCTGCCTTCAGCTGGTAAGTCCAGTGAAGTGGAAGAAGAGTGGGGAGGAACCTGGGGGTGGGCATATCACTGCCCCCACGGTGAGGGAGGAGGCAGGGACAGGGGCAAACACTGCCTAGGTGGGGTGGGGGTGGAGCTGCTGCTCACAAGGGTGGGGGGGAGGCAGCTCCCGCTGCTGCTTGCACCCTGGGACAGCATGGAGGGGGGTCCCCCCCGGATCTGCATGGAGTGGGGTAGGCTGCAGCCGGGGCTGTGCAGGGCTCTTCTCGGCGAGGGCTGGGCTTGGAGCAGGCGCCGGCAGCACTGGGAGGATCCTGCATCCACCTCAAATTTTGGGTGCTCCGCTCCCAGTGCTGCCACCGCCAGCCACCTGGTGCAGCCCCAGCTCAATGCCCCGCCTCCACCCACACTCTGGGAAGACCTGGGGCTGCACCAGGCAGCTAGCGGTGGTGGCGCTGTGAGCAGAGCAGCAGCAAAATTTGGGGTTGATACTGCATCCTCCCAGTGCTGCTGGTACCTGCTCTGTCTGAGCCCAACCCCTGCTGAGAGAAGCCCCACACAGGCCCGGCTGCAGCCCACCCTACCCTGCACAGATCTGGGGGACACCCCCCCCATGCCTTCCTGGGGTGCAAGGAGTGGTGGGAGCTGCTCCCCCATGGGCTGTGGCTCCTTCTCCCCCACACACGCCCTGCCTGAACAGCACCTGCCCCTGCCCCCTCCCTCACCGTGGGGGGCATTGATCTGCCACCCCATGCCCCTTCCCTTCCCCCTCCCCTTCTACCACATGGACTTAGCAGCTGGAGGCAGCTGTATTAGAAATCGAATTGGTATCAGCTGACATGCCTCCTTAAATATCGGCTAGCAGTATCAGCCCCCTAAATCGATATCTTTGTACCCCTACTAATTTGTGGTAAACTTGCCAAGAAGGTCAGCCCCCAATGGTTTAAATCAGTGGTTTTCAATTTTTTTTTTTCATGGACCACTTGAAAATTGCTGAGGGTCTTGATGGTCTACTTAATAAACTTTTGTGTGTCCTACAAATCAAAGCACATAACTCATATTTTAATATCAGTAGTCTTACTTTACAAGTACAGATATTCTCAATTGTTCCGCAACCTTTCTGTGGACCACCTGAATGGAGCTTGTGGATCAGTGGTGGTCTGCGGATCACAGTTTGAGAACCTTTGGTTTAAATAATATGGGATAGAAAGGAATGTGCAGCATGGGTCTAATTCTGCTTTGACTTAAAAGTGATAGGTGTTTTACATCTGAATGTTACCATTACTATGTATCTGCTAACTTCATAATTGTAAACATATTAAATTATTTATTATAATATACAAATATACATATTTGTATGTATATTTAATTGAAAAACAACAGTACGGCATCTGAAATAAAGCACACTGACTTTTTTTTCTTACCCAAACATAAATATGTAGTTATATAACTTAAAACTGATATTGCATGTCTTTATATTGTCTTGACTAGCTGACTCAACATATTCTCAATTATTTCATTTATTCTTTTTGTTGTCTCTATAGCCAGAAGGAAGGATTTTTTCTGGGAAATCTAGCTGGTAAGTTTTTTTTCCATAAAATTGTTTTTGGTAAACTATTAACATTAATCTAGCATCTCCTGTAATCTTATTATCATGCGTCCAGTTTAGTAACACACTAAGATTATTCCACAGTGCCAAATCATTTCACTAATACCTAAAAAGCAAATGTAACTTCTTACAACTTTTTCTCTTTTTTTCTTTTTGTTGAATTTATTGAATTTGTTGTAAAGTTATCATATGCAAAATGTCACACAAAACACTTGATTGCTCCAAAACTCAAAAGAAAAGTATAAATATACAAATAGAGGAACAGTTTATATTACTTTGATTGGCTTTGTTTATGTTTATATTTCAGACCCTTAAAAACCTATCACCTCTCAATATGATCACCAAAAATTAAGGAATTCATCAGTGGAAGCAACAATGGCATTCACACTAAACAAAAGCCCAATTAAAGCAAGCATCCCTACCTAGGATACCTTAAATCCCTACTGACATAACCATGTGTTTAAGTGCCGGTTAGGGAACGTAAGGCTGAAGTGAAGAGTAAGGTAAGGTCGAATTGAAGAGCTTGTTTATGTGCTACCTTGTGCTACCTTGAATTGGAGCCTCAATGAAAAGGCTTTACTACCCAAACATCATAATATCAAACACATGCAAGCTCCTCTAAGGGCATGGAGAAACATTCAGTTGGAGTGGTCTGTAAATGGGAGGGAGAGCTATCGTTTAGGAGCATGCAGCAGCTACTATGTTCTAATGCTACCTGTGCATAACTCTGTAGTGATACAAGTGAGCTAAATCACTCAACCTTAACCCTGGATGAAACTGGGACCATGTCACACATTATATTTTGGATGTGTTAACTGCACTTAAAATGGAATCGCATGCACATTCACGCACTAATACACACACTTAGTATAATCGTATCATAGCAAAATTATGACTTTTTGCAGGAGAAGTATCTCCAGATCATATTGAGTAACACTTGTTCAGGTATCTGTTCCATGGTGATAGCATGAGTTAAAAGACTCCGGTGCAGAATGGGGCTGGAACTGACAATCAGCTGATTGTTGGTCTCAGCCCTGGCACCACACTGGAGCCAGTTCAAGATGCTGATGCAATATTGGGGCTGAGACCACTGGCACTGATCCAGGGCCAGTTCAATACTTCAGTGTGGTGCAGGAGCAGGAACCAACAATCAGCTGATTGTCAGTCCCTGCTCCAACAGTGCATGGGAGCTGGTTGAAGTCTGCCATGGCAGAGACCAGGCTTGCCCTAGCATGCCAGATGCAGGCGCTTCCAGGCTTGGCAGTGCTGCGTATGTGGCAGGGAAGGCATAGGCTCTGGGTGTGGGGGCTGGATGTCTTCACAGGAAGGCATGCGAGCTACAGTGCCCAGTGCCAGGATCAGTGTCCAAGGGGAGGGGTGGGCACAGCCAGTTCCAGTCCTGTCCAGAGTGGGCTGAGTCTGTAGTAAGCACTACTGTGAGTCTGCTGAGAACATGTTCTAACTTTCAATAGAGCAAGGTAATGCTTACTATGATCTCAGAACCGCCCCTGCCCCCAAACATGTGGTAAGTGTCCTGTGTGGCAAGGCTCTTAAAGTTGTTTTTTGCTAGATGTGTATTGCTTCAGGTTATGACAGTGTACCAGCTGCTCTAGACTGTGACCTTAGACGAAAGGTGTAAGATGTAAGGTCACGATGGTCTGGCAGTAAAGAATTACTTACTGATAAGACAATAATCTTTCTGAGGCACAGCTAAGGCTGTGTGTTCAGATGCAAGGGTAAAGAACTGCACATAATGACCCCCCCAACCCTCTGGCACTGCTCAGCTGTCATATACCTCAGGCCTTGTAAAACCATAGGATCCAACACAGGAAGAGACCTCTTGGGCAACTGACCCCAATCCCATGTTACTGTAGGTAGCCATGTCATATAAGCCAACTGAAAACTATCTACCAAGCTCCATCTTAAAAGCAGTTAGCGGGTAAGTCTACCAGTCTTCCTTGCTGGCTCACAGAACATAGCTGTGGAAGAGGCAGGCAGGAACAAAAAACAGAAGTAACTCATGCACCTAGAGACCTTAGCTACTTTTGGCATAATGAGAAGAAAATATGCCAAATAAGGGGAATAGCTTTTAAAATATTAGTACAGGCATTTCCAACTGGTTTGGAGAGATGTTATCAGGATGTGCGTGCAAGTGTTTAGGTTGGATCTGGAAGGACTGTGGTTCTGCAGCTAGTTGAAAAAAGGTAAGGCTGTCAGCACCACATTTCTAAAAAGAAGCATTTTAAAGAATTTATTTCTAAAAGATTTAGTAACATTGGCAGAGGAAACATTATAGAAAACTTAGTTGGCCTGGGAAGATTCAGTGTGCAAAATTTGGAAACTAAATTCTACCATTTGTGTACTAAAAGCAGGAATTTTACCTCTGCTCCAAGTGCAATTCTCAAACACTTGTGTATTTCCTTAACTTGAAGCTCCTAAGTAATCTCCCTGACTTCAGGGGAATCAGAGTTTCTCTTAGGTCAGAAAGTCCACACTAAAACAGGGCACAAACAACTCAGGGAAAACTGATGGGATGTTTTTAAAAAATAACAAGAATAATAACAAGTTAAGAAATAACTATTTGAGAAATGCAGAGGTATTTGCTTTCAAAAACATTTTTTTTTGTGGTAATGAGCTAACGCTGCCTCCCACTGACATCAATTGGAATTTTACCAGCAGCGTGAGCAGTAAGAGCAGCCGGCCATGTACTGTATAAAGTCTCTCTCAGGTTTCTCTCACCAAAGAGTTAGAAATCATAATTCTTTCCTCATTTTAACTTTATTCTTTCCTCATTTTAACTTTATCCACAAATGAATCAGCTTGAAACTAGATGTACAGCAATCAATTAATTAATTTCTTTTTCTGGCCCTTAGAGAAATGAAGCATTAACTATGTGGAAAAGGCCAATTAACTGGTTGAACCAGAACCTGTAACAGCCATATACTAAAAGGTCACACTGTAGTTCTCAATGAGTAAAAAATCAAATGTATACAAAGGCCTAAGTCTTTTAATTAAAAATAATTCAGAGGGCCAGATTGCCTGCTATGGGCAAGACCCACTCAGCGTTATGTAGATAGTACATTCCTGGTTCTACGTCCTTGGTTTTATGTCCCTCAAGGTGCAGCTACACAAGATGCTACTGTGCAATAGTTACTATGTATTTATTTAGTAATTTTATTAGCAAGTACTAAATAAATGTGCAGTAACTGGAGTTACTGAGCAGTAGTGCCGGCAAATGCCTTTTAGACGATGCTACTGTGCAGTAGCATATTAGCACTGTCCGTGCTGTGACGCACTACTACAGACTACTATTTTTCAGCTACTGTGCAGTTAGTGTCTCATGCAGATGTGCCCTCGCTGTCCCAGCCCTGCCTTAAGTATGAAGCTAGCTAGTGAGGATAGCTAAAATCCCATGAATCTTGGTCAGGATCTCTAGGCACACACTATGACAAGGTCTCAGGGGGTTGGATGGCACAGTATCTTTGCTTCCCAGTATCTGGGAATTCCCCTGTCCCCGTACAGATGTGGGCAATTTTCGCTTCAAAAGTTCCTTAGTGAAGCCTAGGGGTGTGAATGGAGCACTGAAAATTTGACCCATTACACTAAATGGATTTCAAAAGCAATAGTGGCTTCCTTTATATTTGTGTATGTATAGGAGTTATTAAAAAGTAGTGAATGCTATATTACAATTAAAGTTCATTTAAGGTGAAAACTCTGTTTTTATTTATAAATGGGAGCCAGTAAGTTAGCATGCTGTAGACCGAACCCCAAAACAAACCAGAATTAAATTAAACATTTTTTAATTGAATTATTAAAAATATTTTTTTAACAATTATTTTTCTCTCCTCTCCATTCTACTCAGCTCAGTGTTACGGGTAGAAGTGTTTCATCTTGAATCCAGTTTGCAGAAACTGCTTAATGCATACCTTTTGTTGATCTGGTATTAATTTTTTATTAGAAATTTGTGCTGCTTCATCTCGTGCTCAAGTCTAACCACCGCTATTAACAACAGATCTGGAAACATATTTCTCACTAGAGAAATCTGCAGCTTTCACACATTCAAGGAAATCTCAGATCTTTTCATGGTCATAGGTGTCTTTCCAGGAGCCTGAAGCCAATGTTCAAATTTGTTCAAACACTGTGCCTAAGAAGGTACGCTAATTCAGACTGGCTGTACCACACGCCAGACTATATTTCCTGTAGGAGGTAGTACAGAGTTCTGGTTATTCAGCTAAGAGACTAAACAGATGTTGCATTTAAATAAGCTAAAGTATTAAATTCAGTCCATTATGATTTACATTTGTGAATGGCCCTGACATTTGCAGAAATAGTAGGGGGTTTGTTTTTTTAAAGAGATAAAATGAGTGGCTCAGCTTATTTGCTGTTAGTTTCCATTCAACCCTAATAACAGGTTCTCATTAAATGGCTACATGGTAAGTTTCCACAAGGTATGAAGTTTAAGTGAGCAAAGCATAGCTGAATATTATTTTACTCTAAAATGGTATGAATTTAAAACAAAACGATAGAAAACAAAATCATCTTATAAAAAATACATCTTCCTTGGAGATGTGTGCTACATCACTGGAGTGCTGCGGTACAGACTATAAAAATCTGAACACTCACCGACACACCCTTGCCCATCCTGGGGGTCCTGATACCCTTGGTAACAGAGGCAGCGGTAGGAGCCATCTGTATTTTCACAGAACCCATGATTGCCACATAGAGTGCTGTTAACACATTCATCAACATCTGAAAATAAGACATTTTAACATCAGACAGACAGAATACAAAGCAACTTGACAGTCAAAGGCAGGCAGCAATATACAATGTATATGAACAAAGACAGACAATGCCTTTAGAAGTAGATAAACTGGGGTATCTGAACATGTTAAAGAAATCAACACAAAGGACAGGAGACAAAAACATTGTATGTTAGATAAATCTTTACATACAATGAATTAAGAAAATTTATAAGAACATTTTATCAATCATAGTTTCATAGTTGGTAGGATCGGAAGGGACCTGAGCAGATCATCAAGTCCGACCCCCTGCCATGGCAGGAAAGAGTACTGGGGTCAAATGACCCCAGCAAGGTGTTCATCTATCCTTCTCTTAAAGACCCCCAGGGTAGGAGCCAACACCACTTCGCTTGGAAGTTGGTTCCAGATCCTAGCTGCCCTGACAGTGAAGTAGCGCCTCCTGATGTCTAGCCTGAATCTACCCTCTGCCAGCTTGTGACCATTATTTCTTGTCACTCCTGGGAGTGCTCAGGGGAACAGAGACTCCCCCAATGCCTGCTGGTCCCCCCTGACTGGTTTGTAAACAGCCACTAGATCCCCTCAGCCTCCTCTTGTGGAGGCTGAACAGGTTCAGGTCCCTTAGTCTTTCCTCGTAGGGCCTGCCCTGCTGCCCTCTGATCATACGAGTGGCACTCCTCTGGACCCTCTCGATGCTGTCCACATCCCTCCTGAAGTGCGGCGCCCAGAACTGGATGCAGTACTCCAACTGCGGCCTGACCAATATCGCATAGAGGGGGAGGATCACCTCCTTGCACCTGCTTGAGATGCATCTGTGGATGCATGACAAGGTACAGTTGGCCTTCCTGACCACATCCCCACGCTGTCAGCCCATGTTCATTTTGGCATCAACAATGACTCCAAGATCCTTTTCTGCCTCTGCACTGACGAGAAGGGAGTTCCCCAGCCTGTAGGTATGCTGCTGGTTCTTCCTCCCCAGGTGTAATACCTTGCACTTGTCAGTGTTGAAACCCATCCTGTTCTCATCTGCCCACCCCTGTAACCTGTCCAGTTCCGATTGCAGCCTATTCCTCCCTTCTAGCATGCCCACTTCTCCCCACATCCTAGTGTCATCTGCGAATTTGAACAAGGTGCTTTTTACACCCCCGTCCAAGTCACTGATGAAGATGTTGAACAGCACGGGCCCGAGGATCGAGCCCTGCGGGACCCCACTGCCCACATCTCTCCAGGTCGAATAAGACCCGTCCACCACCATTCTCTGGGTGCAGCCCTCCAGCCAACTAGTGACCCATTTGACTGTGTAGGTATCAATGCCACAGTCTCCTAGTTTTTTAATGAGAATGGGGTGAGAAACAGTGTCGAAGGCCTTCCTAAAGTCCAGGAAGACTACGTCCACCGCAACAACTGCATCTAAGGATTTTGTGACCTGGTCACCAGGTTGGTCTGACAGGACCTGCCTCTAATGAACCCATGTTGGTTGCCCCTAAGCATAATCTCCCCTATCAATATATAATAATGGTTATGCACATGCATCCTTAAGATGTATGTTACTCTAATATATTCAGAGAGACAAACACCGAGAACAATTTCATATAGTTAATTTTATAGGAACCATATTCTGATGGATTGTTAGTTCTTGGTCATCTCCCATCTGATTAAACAACTTACCAGATTACAGACTGATCAAACAAACACTGCTACGTGAAGCATAATGCATGTTACCAGAACCCTCTGTTTTAGTGCTGTTATCCTTTGCTGCAGTACTAAGTAGTCAATAATATGGGTGAAATTCAGCCCTCACCCTAGTAGGGTAGCACAAAACCCAGCATGCATTTAAATCCCATTGATACGAATGCAATTTAAGCATGTGCTTAAGTGCTATGCTGAATAGGAGCTAGAAACTTCATCTGGGGAGGCGGGGAGGGTTATGTGGGATGTAAGCATTGGACAGACCTTGTGCTGGCTTTCTGTAGGAGTGTTTCACCACTGTGCTAAGAAGTGACAGATATTCTTTAGAGCTGTGCAAAGTTTCAGTCCCTGATTCGATTCGAAGATTCAGCCTGATTCAGTGGCCAAATCTCTGAATCGGAATTGAATCGGAGGACCCTTTAATCTCTCTGAATCGAATCAGAACCCTCTGAATCCATTTGGAGAGATTTTGCAATTCGGATGTAGACGCAGCTTTAAATGTTTTTTCTAAATGCCTGTAGGTAGCAGGGGCTTGTGAGTGCTGGGGTGCCTTGAGTGTCCCACAGAAGCATGGGGGGCTCCCCAGCATGCTTGGCAGCAGACCCAGAATTGGACCAGAAGCACTTCCAGTCCACTTTCGGGTCCACCGGGGAGCATGCAGAGGGGCCCTCCCACGCCCCTCTGGCTCTGCAACTGGTACCTCCTGGGTCTGGGAGGGGCCCCCGGGGGCCCCCCAGCAACCAATCACCAAGCTGGGGGAACACGGGGGGCCCCCCAGCGCATTCCCCAGTGGACCCGGAAGGGGACCAGAAGTACTTCTGGTCCACTAGCAGGTTCGCTGCTGAGCACGTGGAGGCCCCCCCCCACCCCCCCTGCACTCCTGTGGGATGCTCCATGCACCCCAGCATCGCAGCGATCACAAGCCACACACGTACCTCGAGGTATGTAGAAAAAACATTTAAAGCTGTGTCTATGGCTGAATCGCTGATTTTCTGAATTAGCATTAAATCTTCAGATTTGGATTTGGCCGAATTGAATCAGGGACAGTGATCCAAATCAACTAATGAAATCACTGTCCCTGATTTGGGCCAAATATGAATCTGAATTGAATACGGCCCACTTCGCACACCCCTAATATTCTTCCATATAAATGAATAGGCCTAATCTGCAAATGATCTTCCTCATATGCATGGTGGGACTTTACTTTGTAGTTCCTGTTTCTGGCTTGTTGGCTTCAGTCATGAACATCACTCTGTACTGTCTTGAGTAGTCTTTGCTCTCTGTGCGAGACAGCTGCCCCATCAGTTTATAAGGAGACACTGCTACTTGTGGCAGAGAATGGTCTGTTATCCTAAGCATATTAAGAATGCTGTGAATACATTATTTTTATCTCCGTTTCAAATAAAACCTAAAACCAAATCCTGACCATTTGTGATCATTAAAGATCTCCTGGCATGTTTTTCAGCAGTAAGGATGTTAACCCAAATTGGGTTTTAGCCAGGGTACTGGGGTTAGTACATTCTTCCTTCTTAAATTTCCCCTGCAATTTCCAATGTAGAAGTTATTTCCTTCCTAGAGGCTATTGTAAATGTTGAATAGTGATACTGTCCACTCTGAAACAACTTCTGTGTTGTTTCAGAGGCAGCTGTATTTCAAGTGTGGAAAAAGTGATTCATTTATAATTTATAAAATGTGCCAAATACAGGCAATAGCTGTACATGCAGGTTAACTATGCACAGTAAAACATACTTAATTCGGGAAAAAGCAAATTGGAAGAAGACTCCAAGAAAAACAACAGGTAACACAGACACAACCTCCAACTCCCATTTTTTCTCCTCTTCTGTTGTCACATGCAATAATTTCCATTATGGCCATTACAAGCCTTATATATTAATTGATCTGAACAGATGGCAGGATAGAACTGTTCACCAAGTCATCTAACAGGTCTTTGAGAAGACAAGTATTTACTTTCGATATCTCTCAAAGAAGAAACAATCTTATAATTTCATTTTAACAAAACCCCTTCTGTCCACCCCTAGTATTCTCTGCCACATCAGTGTCACCTTCTTATTTACAATATTGAAGGCCTGAGAAAATCAGCAAGATGTAGCTCCTTCCATCCCCTTCACATATTCACAACCATGTCAACTTCATCTTCTCATTCACAATGAGCCTCCGATTCGGTTTGGGGAGATTCAGAGAGATTTGACAATTCGGACATAGACACAGTTTATATGTTTTTTCTACATACCTCAACGTACCAGGTGGCTCATGAATGCTGAGATGGTGGGACAGATGGAGCACAGGGAGGTCCGCAGCGTGCTAGGCGGTGGACCCAGAAGTGGACCAGAAGCACTTCTGGTCCAGTTCTGGGTCCCCTGCGGAGCATATGGGGGACCCCCACTCCCACCCCCTGGGTCAGCGACTGGTGCTTCCTGGGTATGGGTGGGTACCCAGGGTCCCCCCGCAGCTGATCACTGGGGGGGGGGGGGGGGGGGGGGGGGGGGGGGTCGGTCCCTCATGCGATCAGCGGTGGACCTGGAAGTGGACCAGAAGTATTTCTGGTCCACTTCTGGGTCTGCCGGCAAGCACGCGGGGAGCCCCCCTACTCTCCTGTGGGACGCGTCATCTGCCCTACTGTCTCAGCATTCACAAGCTGTGCCTGGTACCTCAAGGTACGTAGAAAAAACATTTAAAGCTTTGTCTATGGCTGAATTGCTGATTCGCCGAATCAGAATCGAATCTTCAGATTTGGATTTGGCCGAATTGAATCAGAACAGTGATCTGAATCAGCTAATTGAATTACCATCCTCCAAATCAGGCTGAATCCAAATTGAATACGGCCCGCTTCACACACCCCTAGCATAAACATCAAAAAACAGTTACCAAGAACCTTATTCCTATAAGGTTCTATTATTGTGCATTTTTTTTCTTTTTTTTGAAAATAGTATGTGTGTTTTTGAAAAATTATCCTCTAATTATGGTGAATGGATAGAACAAACCAAACCAATAAAAGCTACTGTATATCACGGTGTACAAGTTGACATTTGAAGGCCAATTTTTAACTCTTAAAATTCAACCTCGGCTTACACACCGTATTACCATCCCCTGTGAGTGGCGCTGGGCTTGGTGCTAGGTTGGTGCAGCCCAGGCAGCACTGTGTGCAGGGGATGGGGCTGCACCAGCCTAGAACCAATCCTGACACCACTTGCAGAGGATAGGGATGAGGATGGGGACAGGTTCAGCTGGCATGGCCCCGTACCTTGCAAGTAGCATAGGGCATGCAGGCAATGGGTTTGTGCC